CTCGGCGCCGGGACGCGAACAGGGCGCGGGGGCTGCCCCGGCGGAGCCACGCACCCGCCGGCATCCGGGATGAGCTCGGTCTGTGCCAAGCCCGCAGCAGGACCCTGCTGCATCCGCTCCCCAGCGAGGCGCGGGGATCGAAGACTGAAAACGGGTTGTGTGATACAGGGCACTTCACATGCAATACTTCGGCTTTTCCCATGGCATTGCTCTCTTTTTCCAAGAATCTGGACAGCGCTGCTTCGCGTCACAAGCCCTTTACTAAAAGGATCCGAGCGGTTTCCCTGCCCGGCCAGTGATTTCGGAGACATCATGCTGTGTAATGGCATTAAGGTGTCAGGACCCGAGTGTCCAAGGAAACATGGCAGGACCTGAATTTATACGCACCTTTGTTCGTGAGCCTCTGAGCAATGCATTCACACACATGACCAACAGAAGTACTGCCAGCTTTGGGGGGAAAACAGCAAAATAGTAGCAGGAAAATGCTAGGAGATCTTAGGGCAAACACTCAACCTTTCCTTTAATAGAAAAGTGCTATCCATTAGATCTTCAAATGTTGACAGACATTGGGAAAAAAATTACTTTACATGGTCTCATGCTACTTACCGTTCAATGCTCAGTGCCTCATCTGCAAGTCTCAGGAGGCAGAAAAGCTGAGCTGAGTCTTCTGGAAATCACCTGTATAGCTGTGGCATTTGGTGAGGTGTTCTATCCCTGAGGCTTAGGGAACCAAACCACCCACTCTACAGCGAAACCGGAGAAGAAAGCCAGCAGTGCCCCAGCACAGCAGCACGGCCCTGTGCTGTGTTCTGCTCCAAACACCCAGAGGGCTGTGCATCATTAGTTAAAACTTAATTTACTAAATTGAAAGATATCACCCTGCGTATTAGGGAAATGAAGGAGCCTGACAGTTATTTACTAATCATGTGTAAATTAAGACAATACTCGGTAAGAAGATGCTATCACAAAAAAATAAAAAACAGCTAGAGGTTGGGGTTTTTTTCGGTCTTAGGAAAGACGGGGATGCAGTAAGAGGGGCAGATGCGATGCCGCTGTGCATGGGGCGGTTTGCTCAGCCCCTTCCAGACAGCCTGACACGAGGCTTATCCCGGAGTTGGGGTTCTGAGCCGAACACATAGCCACGTTGCAATTATTTTGTACCCATTACCTGGCCTACGCTTCCCAGTGCGAGCTTGGGAAAATGCTAAACATATAAATAATGTATTGACTGTTTCATACCAGCTGTATCCAAAAACGCGTTGCTGCATGAGCGGACGTAATGATACAGTTACTCGATTGAGGAAGAACTGAGAAATTAAGAACAGGCAAATAATTACACATTGTAATTATTAAACGACCGTGTCAGTAGGTCTGTGCTGGTTACTTCTCTGAGGCGTGAGCTGGGAGGACACCCGCTGCCGCCGCAGCCGTCACACGGCTGCACAGCTCTCACACAGCGGTACCGTGCCGCCCGCACGAACCCCTGGATCGCTCCGCGCAGGAGAACGGTCCCGCTCCGATGACAGCGGTGCAGCTGCAGGCCGCTCCGTCGGGGGTCCGGCTGACGAGCAGCGCGGGCTCTCCTCTCGCCGGTTCTGAACGCCGCGAAACCGGCCCCGATGTGTTTTTCTCCCTGCGCTGCCGGGCTGCCCGTCCGCCGGCGGAGATCAC